GAGGACCTCCTCCTCCTCCTCCCTCCAGGCTCGGGGCTGCTGCCGACTGCTTCAGCACCTTTACCGGCCCCGAGGCGGACGAAAATTCCGAACTGCTGTTGCTGGACGACGACGACGATGAAAAGGTTGACGAGGAGGAGGTGGGGTGGAGACGAAACTCGGAGACATTGCTGTCTAACTTTCTTGACGCCGACAGCGGGGCTGGCCTCAGCTCCGACCTGCTGAACAGCATGCCCTCGGAGGCCACGACCGAGGAAGATCTCGCGTTGACGGAAATCGACCGTGGGGGCGCCCGGCGCTTATTCGCCGAGGTCGGAGATGGAACATGCGGACTGGTGCCAATCTTCAGAGCCGAGCGCCTCCGCACGAGCGGGACCGACTGCTGCTGTTGCCTTCTCACCGCCGCCGCGTCCTCCATAGGCGGCGTCATAGGAGTATACGCTGGCGCTGCTGTGTGGCGGTGTGCGGCATATGGGAATAGCAGCGGAGGGGCGCACACGACCAGGGTTAAACTTCAGGCAAATCAACATCATGAACTGAAGACCCTTCCCACACACAAGGACGGGCAGCACTATTCTCTCTGCCGCGGAAAAATTGTTGAAAAAGAAGGGGGTATTTGTATTTGTATTTGGAAGAGAGAGGAGGCCGAATCTTCTTCAACGTATGCATACTGCTGTGAGCGGACCAGATTCCAGGTGAACGGTGGGATGAATCTGCAAAAGGGGTCATGCGCAAGTGTCACGAAGTAGGAAGGAGTATGCAGTATGCATGATGTTCTGCACCGGCGGGGTCCGGCTAAGGAACTTCGTCTTCTGTCCCGCCTAGCCGACTACACCCCTACGGCAGCGTTGAGGGCCTCTAGCGATATGTGCTTCTGGGGTTGCTCAAACCTGTCCGAACCGAAGCGCCTATCCGTTCATCATCGGACGGGAAAAAAAGGATCGTTCTGTTCATTTTCTCCCCGGGTCCCTGCCATCAGCTAGCAGTTTTGCCACGCTCCGACGCTCTCTCTACTCTACTCGTCCTCTAGATGCATCGAGAAATCCACAAAATGCAAGGCCGAGAGAGAGAGAGAGAGAGAGAGAGAGAGAGAGAGTAGCGAGAGGCACGCACGGGCGAGCAGCAGCAGCATGTGAAGGAAATGCTTCCGCACATCCATCCACCCGCCCTTTGGTCCTCTCCTTGGGCACGTTCGCAGAACGAATGTAGGTGTACTGCCTATGCGTGGGTTCTCTCTTTAGTGCCTGCCTACAAATACTACAGCGGGGTTTGCAGTGCCCTGTCCCTTCATCTGCCAAGAGCACAATCTGCGCCAAGACCTGGTTTGCAGCAGCAGCTGGCCTACCAAAAGACCGAAACGAACCCTTTGTCTCTCTCACCGCCTATCGCCACTGCCGCCGGTGGAAACGTCTCTCCTCCTCCGCGCACAGAACGAGGTGACGATGGTGGCGTGACTGCTGCTGTCATCTCCGCTGCTGCCTGCTGCTGCGCCGCAGTCCACTCGACGCCACTGCCGTCGTCCACCCTGGGAGACATCCGGGAGAGCAGGAGTGCGACGCAAGGCAGTGGTCTGCTGTTGTCCGGCCGGGAATCTCGCCTGCGTTGTGTGCGTGCTCTGCTGCTGCTGCAGCTGCTGAGAAGCCGGACGCAAACTTATGGAATCTAACTCTTTAAGGTGTTGTTTTTGAGCAGGTGAAGGGTGTATGATGGGGTTGACTCTGGGTATGATGGGGTTGACTCTGGGTGTGATGGGGTTGACCCACAACACAAAAAGCAAGTACTTTCCCCGTGTTCTAAACATATGAGAAGGAGAGGGAGAACTGGGGAGCTCTTCACCCGGAAATCAATCGCATGGGGGCCGGTCAGCTGGACAGGGGAGGGGAAGTTGTGAGAGAGGAAAAATAACTTTTCGAGAGAGAGAGAGGAAGGAGATGGTGACTGCTGCTGTCACAGCAGCTTGTCGTAGTGTGGTGCTGTGCGGTTGTATTGGCGATGCACACTGGTTGCTAGTGGGTCAAGCCGTGACAAGATACTCCGCGGCGGTATGTCAACGAAGGGCGTGTGGGGCTCATGTGTAGACAACGTGACTCATGTTGCACATTCCATTGAAGGTAGCCCTCTGCTGCGTGTGCCTGTCACCTGGTGACAGTACTGAGCAGACCGGCACGCCACCGCGAGAGGAGGATTACATAGTTGAGCGTTGAGCGGGGAATTCGTACTTTCATACATATGAGACGGTTGTCTCCAGATTCGCGTGTGAGCAAGTTCCCTTTGGGATGTGTTGTGTGGATGCACACCGGTTCAACCTCTGGTGGAGAAGCTGGCGAGTACGGATAGTTGTGTTGAGTGTCAGGAGGGGAGCGACCTTGCTGCAGCAAGGTTCAGCGTCCATAATACACTGACTCTATCTGTAGCAACACCCCGAAGGTAGATCTCCGACAGGTCATCTGACGTCACAATCTACGACAGTCTGAGGTGGCATTCACATACATCCTACATGCTGTCTGGGAAATCGTAGACATGAGGGATTCTCCCCGATATTTTGTCGTTGACCCAGTAGAGAACTACAGGGGATGTATTGTAAAATGTAAGTTACCTATACAGATGTTTTTGTACTTAGCACCAGCTGGCATCACTGGTTTACATCATCAGTGTATAGACTTAAAAAGACTCGAAATAAGTCCAGTACCCAGCCAGTTTCCCTCCACTCACTGAAAAGACTCCACTGAGGGTATATCTCGAACGGGTAGTCTTTCGGTGTGTGTTTTTATATACAGGTAGCTTTTTCTGACGCTATGAATTCATTGCTAATCTGTCTCTGACCCTTTTCTATGATAGAGATGGATTCGTTATGTCATATAAAGAAAAATAAAAAAAGAACTGGAATGTGCCATATGAGACAACCACCCGCGTATGGATGCATGCAATACTAGTACTGCTGTACGCTGTACATCTTCTCTCTGTGTAACGCCGTGTTCTTGGATGATCCGCAATCTTATGCCGACAACGTCCCAATGTCCCTCTCTTTACGTAGTTCATAGAAGGCACCAGGCGGAAAGTTACTGCCGTAGAGGCAGTAAAAAGAGAGAGATCAGATATCTGAACCCAGGACGGAAGTAGTTCCCACCACAGCTGCATTCAGCAGCTGCCTCATCAGCGTTCGTTGTGATACCTGCCGGCCGCAACCTTTCGCACAATCAAATTCTTCTCCTGTGAAGCCTTTTGGCGAAACACTGCAATTTCCTGTTCATCATCACCTCACACGTTTCCTGCTGATTACCCCAACAACACTGAATGGCCAGAGGCAGGGGTCTACAGTAAACAGTACCATCGTTGTTTGTGCTCGATCTCTATAGACTACATATGCGCGCTCGGTGCTTGCTTGTGTAGCTTACATACAGCGTACCCATTGTAGGACCGATACATGACACAGTACACTTACACCTACCTGCCGCCCCGAAGAAAAAAGGCGCGTGTGAGGGTAGACACGGATCACTGGCGACCTTGTACGCATAAGGAAGGAGTTCTGCCCACTCTGTTCTTGTCTGTTGACTGCCGCACACTATCATATTCTCCCTCTCTCTCAGTAGCCAAGTATTTTGACTACGAGAAACGCCAACCTCCAACAACACATCTGACAGAAGGCACGCTCCATGCGTGGCAATTTGGTCCGCAGCAGACGGTATCGAGGGCGTCAAGCAATCGTACAGACCGAACGAAGACCATATGGCCCCCCATATTATTATAGTAAGTACACAGGGGCCAGACGACGCCTGGTATTCAAATCTTAAATGCATGTGTTTCCCCAAGCGATTTGCAAAACTCGCCCTCGTGCGGCGTGATATGCATACCTGTGCAGCCACTGATCGAAAGATGCACCCTCCCACCAACAAAGAGAGGATATAGCACGAAAAAACAAAAAAAATCAGCATCGCCCTGTCCCACTTCATGTTCTATCAACTGCCTTACACTATTTCAGCTTGTTGAAGAAGAACCACCTTCTTCGCCATCCTCCTCGCGAGCCGTGGTCGCCGCTAGGGTCTGCTTCCGCCGGATTTTAGTCTCGATCAAATCTCGGAGCTGCTGCAGCGGGACCCTCGCTCTTTCCGCAGCCTTGGTTGGCAGCCGACCCTTGCCGCCCCCAGCGGCGATCGGCGGCGGCGGCGGCATGCGCTTCGACCCTCCTAGCGACACAGCAGCAGTCGAGGTGTTGGCGGCGGGTTCGTTGTCGCTGCACTCCCCGTCCGACGAGCTTTTCGGCGAAGAGGACGGAGAAGATGACGAGGGCTCGACGGGAGAACCGACCACCGCTCTCTTGTTCTTCTTGCTCTTGGACCCGATTCCGTCACGGCTGCCGTCGCCATTGCTGCTGCGTTTCTTCCCCGATGAGCTCTCCCGCTGCTTCCGCTTCTTTTTGTGCTTACGCTTGTGGGTGGTGCTACTACTTTCGTCCTCGTCCTTGCCCTCGTCTCGCTCTCCCCGTCGGCTGGACTTCTTGCTTTTCTTGTCTCGCTTCTCCTTCTTGGCCTGCTGAACGATCCAACGCGCGTGCCGGAAGTGCCAAATGAAAATTATGATGCGGGATGATTCCACGCACAACGACTAAGCAGGTGGCGCAACATGCAACACCAGTCCCCAAGGTTATGGACTTGTTCTCTCTGAGACACTGCCAATCAAAGTAACAGCGCGCGAAGGGAAAAACCCGTGGAATGTTCCATGACCGGCAAAATAGTTTTTGGAGGACTTCTCTTGGGGGAGCGGGGGGGTAGAGCATCTAGCTGTACGTCCGATTGACCGCCTGCGCCGGAAACAGCGTCGGTCGAAGCGGGGGCGGGAGGAGGCGGGGGTACGGCCCGAAAGACTGCTGTCGGGCCCGTCCGGCAAGTAGCAGGGGGGAGAGGCCGCATGCTGCACGGGAAGGCGGTGGTATTCTGGATCAGATGTACCACAAGATACAGCCAGATGGGAACGAGTTACGTCCACACTGCCAGTGGCGAATGGTATGCACCATGAGGGTGTTGCGGAAGCACCACTGGCGGAAGTTGCCGTGTCGGCGACTACTGGGTTCGCATGTAACGTAATATAAACTCTCGATCTCCCCTCTTTCACATACAACAATTACCGCCCCCCGAAAACTGTTGTAAGTTCTAATCAGGATCGGAAACAGCGCCACCAGGTTGCACCGCACTATTTTGCCCCGAAGCACGAACAAAAGGTGTTTAGTTCAGACAAGAGAACTCAGGGTCTGTCACTGCCGCACCTTCTCCCCCCGCTTTCCGGCGTGCTCCTCGTCCCTATCCTTGTCCTTCTTCCTCTTCTTTGTCTTGCTTGAGGAGGACTTCCTCCTGCTGCCGCTGCCGCTGCTCTTTTTCTTTCTCTTCTTTCCCCTCCGGTCTCCATCACCACCATCATCGTCCTCTTCTTCGTTGCTGCTGCTGCTGCTGCTGCTGCTGCTATCGCTTTCTCTGCCTCCTTGCCGTGCACACCGTTTCCCCTTCTTTCCTCGAGCTGCGGCTACCGACATGTCCACCACTCGCTGTCCAGCGCCTGTCGGCTGCTCTACCGTCCTCTGCCTCACCACCGTCTTGTGTTGGTATCCGATGCCAATCTGAGGTCGATATGACACAAACCACATTCATTCGCCGTTGACGTGAACATTGCCAACATCCCAGAGGTTCAGACCATGGCGAGGTTACCCTTCAACTCCACAGAACAGTACATGCAAAATGTCCACGTATACACCCATGCTTAGAAGAACTTCCGAGCTGCCGTCAAAGCAGGGGCGTTGGTTACATCATACGGTAGGTGATGAGCATTGCTAGTCTTGGAGCCGCATATGTCGAGGTTAACGCATCGTGCCGCCCTTTCAACAAAGGCACCGGCATCACCTCGTCCGATCAGCCGCAAGCATGAGCGAAGTGGCCTATGGGGGCGCGTTCGGAGCTTGTTCGGAGTAGGACTGAAACACAAAAATCGAACAAAAAGGACAACTAGGCCTGTTGCGTGCCCGCGAAAAGATTGAAAGAGCTTCCCCGACTTTTTGCCGAAAATCACCTGTGTGTTGAAGAATTGATTGCGGTCTACGATGCACGCCTTCCGCTCAACGCCATCCTTTTTTTCCCTTGCCTTGCTCTCGCGCAGCATCTCCATTTCTGCAAAACAAAGTAGACAAACGCGCAAAACATCATGCATGTAAAGTAATGGCATCGGATAGTGCTAGACTACAGGTACTGCACAAAACCGCTGTGAGGTTCACCGGTGGATGCGAAAATCTGCAACTTGCATCATGGCGATATGGAGGCCCGATATGCCGCCACTGAAAACTTAGATCGAGCAGCTGTTGCATAGCACCGGAAGGGTAGGCGAGAGGGCACATCAATGAACACGATCATCCCTACAACAGTTTTCTCTCGGCTTCCTTGCGCACACCCGCGGGTTCTGGTATCCGACGCCTCCACACACCGCGCGGTATGCACAGCAGTTATGAGACTGGAGCGTTTTTGGCTTGCTCTCCGTCTTAGCTTCCATGAACCACAATGCTGTCATGGGCAAGATGCTACAGTATAAAGCTGGTGTGCCAAAAGCCTTGTCGCCTTTCACACAAAAGCCCTCTTCTTGTACTAGTCCTGCTACTTAGCATATGGGCGCCCCCTATTTACTCACTACCTATCCTGTTTTGTGTCGGCGGTCCTCAACGACGGCCCACAATAGAAGGCGCATCAACCTTACAAGGGTACCTGTACCATACCAGGTCGCGGCTGTGGAAACGATTTCTTGACACCCATTGCATTTCGACCGAACAAAAGTGGCACCCCCAACTGTGCCCGGTCCAGGACTGCTGTAATTCGCTGAAGTGGGGCATACCCGCCACAGCAGTAACAATTGTAGTGCTTTTGGGGTTGCAAGGCTACAGCAGTACTCCATGCACCCACCCCCGACTCACCCATCTTGAGTCCAGCGCTTGCGTTGGCGGCCATCTGTTGCAAGCCGTAGTCGTCCTCGCTACTGGAACTGCTCCCGCCGTCGCCATCATGCTCTCGAGCTAGAACGCGGTTGAGCAACTGGCTTCCTTTCGGCGGCATATTTAGACTGCTCACCGTGAGTCTTCTAATCTCTACCTGGACTTGCTTGGATAGCGTTGACCAAAGGGCCAAACCTATGGTGAAAATATGTTCAGCTCGATGGATAGCTACCTTGCCACCGGAGCCGCCTGCACTGCGCGCTTTCCAACTCACGGGTACACACTGGGGAGCAACGGAGGGAGGACGGGAGCTGGACGGGAGGTGCAGCAAAGCAGAGGAGCAGGGAGCGGGGAGCGAGGAGCTGCCGGCTTCTAATTGGTCAACATGGGTTCAGCGCCGAACCCTCGGTTACCACTCGGGTTCTCCCTCTTTTAGCCGCGCCCCCTTCCGCTCCCCCGTTGTTTGTGTGTATCGTCTCTCGTCTCAGCGTTTACTTAGCTCTGCTCCTTCCGGCCATGTTGCTTGTCCAGCGATCAACGTCGTTGCTTGCGAAGAGATTGCCCAGGGCACTTGGAGTCCGCGGTCTCTCGCGAGGTCAGGGTGTTGCTGCGGAGAAGGAGGAGGAGGGTGTTCCAAAGGTAAAACAGTTGACTCAGCGTTGCATGTCGTGCTCTACTGCTGAAACAAGCAGCTGTAAATACAAAGTGGTGCTCAATCTGCCTGCCTTGCCTTCGAACAGCATTTCAGCTCTAGAGGTTGCCTATCACCCACACCATCACTCACCCGTCGCTGCCAACGTACAGCAAGCAGGTGATTTGGTACATAGGCCAAAGGTACCATCGGTGAGTCTTTCAGCGTTCGTAAGCCTGTCTTTCAGCGTTCGTAAGCCTGTAGTCGACAGGAGTCGCGTCGATCCTTCTGTGCCCGGTTGACCTACGTTCAGAGAACCCCCACATCAAGCTATGACGTTTGACTGCTGCTTATCTTGGACACGAGCTGTCGCAATGCCGCTCTGGAGGTTACCCACCCACACGGTACAAACAGGCAGAGGGCGGCAACCGTTCAGACCCTTTGGTACACCTAGATTCTACCTGCTCTCTGTTGCGGACGGACTGGATGTATCTGACATCTAATGATCTCGCATGTTTTCCTCAACAGAAACTGGCTCTCACATGTGGGCACAAAATAAAAAAATCAAAATCTGCGTGCACACATTCATAAAAAAGCGAAAAATACCCATGTCCACTCATGGTCGACTTCTTTTTCATTCGCAAACATATTAATCAGCGCGGCCGACTCAAGGAGTGAATCATACCATTCTGAAGCTTTAGCTTCAGCTTCTCAGACCAATATCCGTGGAAGTTTCATTCGACTCCCCCACCCCTTGCCCGACCCGGCCCGAAATGTTGATCTCGAGCTACAGTGCAAATCTCGCGGAGTGTTGAGTATGGTTCGGTGGGGAATCGCAGATGATGACCCCTCCCCGAGTTTGAGGAGCTTCCGCTTCCTGTGGCCGACAAGAGTCGGCCTTGTCCGTGTCGCCACACGAACGCGGCGGTTGAACATACAAAGCGGGTCCGTGCCGTGCATCACATTTTCTTTTTTTTTTTCTTACTGAGTGAGCGGGGCTTCCCGCCTTCTTGCTTGGTGGTTTGTATCCCTCAGGCTGCTGTTGTGATGCACCACAGCGGGCATCTCGCAGGTATACTGTCTCTCTGTCTGTTAGGGTTGGACACCCGTACGCGTCACTCATTCCCCAAAACGTGCACCGACAGCAACAATCATCGTTAACGTTGCTCTCGCTCATAAGCATGTTTTCGGAATATATGTCTCTGTCGGCCTTTTGCTGTTGTGTCTTCCATGCGCGCGCGTGTTTTTTTTCGGTTTTGTTTGCTTTGAGTTGTGTGATGAGCAGTATTTCTGGACCGCATGTGAAGCAGTTTGTCAACCGCCGCGATCGCTGCCCCTGGTCTTGCTGCAGTACATAGTTCGGTGATGTGGTATGCATCTACACGGCTACACAGGTCTAGTCGAACGTTGACAAGCTGACAAGTTGTGCAACTGCCATCCCTCTTCACGTTGACTTGACTTTTACCCGTCCGTCCCTCCGCCCATCTCGCCCATGCTCACAATGTTGTCGGTATGTGCCGTAACTGCGAGAGAGCCGAGAGCCACCAACTGATGACGCTTTCCATGTTACACAGAGTGCAGTTAGTTAGGCCATCTCCACCACGGAAGGAAGCACGTGTACGTACGTCTTCGCCCATAACTCTCCTTTTCTCCTCTCTCCGTCCCTTCCCTTTCCAGTTCTTCGAACACTTGTGAATAATTTTGTTTTGAAGGGTCCACGAAGCGTTTGTCTCCGGTTTATTGCGATTGATTGCCGCCCTTGCCGCTGCCGATTTTTCGAGAGTAAATGAGATGGCCTCGAGGAGCATTGCTCGCCAACATAAGAAGGGGTTCACGGCCGGCAAAGGACTTCCTCTATGTGTGTGTGTACCTTTGCTGCATTGGATTCGCGAACTCTCTCCCATTATTACTCTCGGTCCTATCCCAAGTATTACATTTCGTCTACGGGTTCTTTCGTCCCTCCGGGTCTCTCCGCGTATTTATTTGTTTTGTAACAGTTTGTTGGGGTCCTATGGGTCCCCCCCACCACCAAAAACTCCATTTTCACCTTTATTGGACGGGTATATATACTTCTCAGATAGTTGCAGGGAGCAGCAATTTGTTTCCTTACAACAACACCCCTACAGCAGTAGCTCAAACACACCAGTATGCCTTCCGAGACATCCAAGGCGCGTGGGAGGCCATCGTCCATGATCATGAGAACCAGCCCCGCCAACTGCCCCAAGTTCCGCAGACGACGCTTTGTTTATTTGTTTGGTTGATTTTTGGGGCGTGTTTCCTTGCTACATCCTGTCACCTGGTCTGGCCAACAGACAGGTGTTTTACCCCCTCCGTCCACTCGTTCACACACGCACCAACCGTTCACCACAAGAAAAACAGTTCTAACCCATGTTCAGATGGGGAAAACTCAGATTATATTGTACGCCCTCCGCCTCGCTCCCCTCCCGTCAATCTCCCGTCCGGCTCATTTTTTAGGAGAGGAAAGCTAGACTGGGGTCCGCTCGGATGCAAAAAATGAGCAGAGCGCGTTCTGGGTGATCTCATCTACAGTAGGAGTATTTGGCTGTCTTCGTGCGTAACCAGATGTATGTACGTACGTACATCTCAGCAAGCACTCTCGGCAGTATTATAGTAGGATTTCCTCGCCAGAAGAAGTAGTGCATGTACGCAGGGGCGTGGGGGGGGGAAATAATGGTATTTTTTTGTCCACTCGGTGCCGGTGTGGACTGTTCTTTTTCGGGCGGAACTTCAGTCACTCCTCTGCGCAGAAACGTTCTCTTCAGGAGCCTGCGAGCGTGAAAATGAAGTGCACACGCCGACAACCAACCATGATATCGGTTCGACGAGACCCCGACCGCGTGACCGCAGGCGTCACCTTGTACCGCTGCTGACGGATCGCTGTCTGCCGGGTTGGCTCATGGCGTGCGGTAGCCCAGTCCACCCTCCGTTGCGACCGTCACGGTAACTACTCCTGTCGTCGCCGCTCCCATCAACGGTGCCGCTGCTCCGTCCGCGCGTGCGTGCGTCCCGGCCCGCCGGCGCCGCGGGGAACACATGACTTCCGGTGGTTCCCCCTCTCGCCGCCGGTGCTGTTGCCGATGCTGCCGCGCCCACCGCGAGTGCCTGCGGCCCGGCCGTCTCCCCCCGCCGCCGCGGGGAAAACCCTGCCGCCAGGGGTCACCCCTCTCGCCGCTGGTGCTGCTACCGATGGTACAGCTCTAGCTGCGAGTGCCTGCACCCCGGCCGTCCCCCCGGCCGGCGTCGCAGGGAACAAATGACTGCCGGTTGTTCCCCCTCTCGCCACCGGTGCTGCTGCCGATGCTGCCGCTCCCTCCGCGAGTGCCTGCGGCCCGGCCGTCTCCCCCCGCCGCGGGGAAACCTTGCTGCCAGGGGTGACCACTCTCGCCGCCTGTGCTGTTGCCGATGCTGCCGCTCCCGCCGCGAGTGCCTGCGGCCCGGCCGTCTCCTCCCGCCGCCGCGGGGAAAACCCTGCCGCCAGGGTTCACCACTCTCGCCGCCGCTGCTGCGACCGATGCTGCCGCTCCCTCCGCGAGTGCCTGCGGCCCGGCCGGCTCCCCCGCCGCCGGCGCCGCCCTCGGGCCAAATTCTGCCGCCGGGGGTCACCCCTCTCGCCGCCGGTGCCGCTTCAGCCCATCCGATGGAAGCCTATCGCCAAACGACCAACATGCTTCAGGCCCTCTTAGACCATCGGGGAGAACTGCTCGAGGCGTTTGTTCGTGCAATTCTTTCGCGTTTACTTCTTGTTTTGTATGTATCCTGTCGTCGTACGTTTTCTTCGGATGGATTTCGTTCTTTGGCCTTGTCATGGTCGGCACCGTAGTTTCAAGGTCTTCCTCGCGGTCTGGACGTCTTCATTCTTCAGTTGCTTTGCTATTGCTGTGTCTCGTGCTCGAGAGTGTTACCGTAGTAAGCACTTGCGGCTTCCCGTAATACAAACAACGGAAGCTTCAGACACGCAACGCCGACGAAACTCGTCGAGGAGTTGCACATCAATGCAAACACGTTGATGCAAACCATCGGTCAGCCTGTAGGTACAGCAGTGTGCGGTCGATGTTGTTGAAGCTAGTAGTAGCAATGGAAACCGATACAGCAGTACAGGGCAATAGCATGGAAGAAAGGGATGAGCAGCAACAATGCTGCTCGGTGGTACTGAGTCTTCTCCTTGTACTTCAGAAGCAGGACACCGCTGTCGTGCAACTCCTGCACCTCCCCTGTCGGCAGGACTCTTTCATTCGAAAAGCGTGTTCGCCCGTTTTTATCCCGCTCTATGCATAAGAACGACGTATTTTAGTTGGTCAGCGCCGTCGATGCTAATTAAAAAAAAAAAAACACCACCTTTGTCCTTTCGCAAGTGTTTGCCAGTTGGTGCACAAGACGCCCTTGTGCCTCACTCCTGGATCGAGGATACACTGTGTCCCTCGTAGTGGTTGCGCCAGAGGCACAAGGGGGAAACGCCCTACACACGCGCGCGAGAGCGAATGGAAGAAACGGCTTCGCGAATCGTTCGTCGCGCAGTATCGCACGCAATGAGGGATGATCTACAGAGCCAAACTCGTACTGCCATACATCGTGTTGAAGTCGCGTACACTGTTGCTGCTACCGATTTAGCACGATTTTTTAGCCTGGTGTACCGGCCCTCTCTCATTCCTACTGCGGTGTACTACGCACAGCTCAAAACAGTAACCGTAGCACCGGGGAATCACAGGTAGGTACTGTCCTGGTCTCCTCCCCTCACGGTCATTGGAGAGGGTGTTGTACCCTGTACTGCCCGCGTTGGTCTTGTGCATACATTTGTCAAGAACGTGGACAAGTTGGATAACCATGTGCCTCTGCCGCGAACGAAAACAGGTCATCGTATTTGGCGGTAGCGGCTTCGTGGGCCAGAACGTTTGCCAGGCGGCCCTCCGTATGGGGGCTGATGTGGTGAGTGTCAACAGGAGTGGCGCCCCAACCGGCAAGGACAAGGCGTGGAAAGACAAGGTTCGGTGGGTTCAAGCGGACATCTTCAAGCCGGAGGACTACGCTGTCGAGGTGCGTCTCTTCAGGAGAATGCGGCTGTGGAACCACACATGAATGCTGTGAGCGTATATAGACTGCACCAGGGGAATGCTGTGTCGCAAAGCTTAGCGTATCGACTTTGTTTCAAGAACATGATGTAGTGTACCAGGCCGGGGGAAGCACTCGTTGTAGTTGGAGTACAGTGGGTGTACCGAGATCATCGCGATCGCAGTGTTCTGTTGTTTTGTGCCGGGTTCCCGAGAACTCGGAGGGAGTTGCCGGATTAGTATGAAACCCGCTCAAGCAACGAAGGGTAAGGAGTCCTCACTGATTTTGTTTAGTTGTAGCTGCTGATCATCAGGTGTGTGGTCCGCACTTTTTCCACCCGTGGTTGTCCGGCGCATGCAGCATGGTTTGCAGCGAGCGAGTAGCCAATCATTTGCGGCTGATTGTCCCGCGTTCCTTCGTTATCGTGGAGCGGTGTGGGGCTGAATTGTGCTTCTGCTGTGCCGCTTTGCAATGTTGTCTTGTTTCGTCTCAAGCTATCTGGCGCAGCGGGGGTTGTCAGCTGCGTGGGCGCCTTTGGATCAGATCAGCAAGTGGAGAAGATCTGCGGAGACGCCACGGTCGCCGCAACGGAAGCCGCCGAAAAGGTGCCAGCTGTTTGGCGAGCCGTGCTAATCGCAAGGCGGCGGGGGTACAGAGGTGTTCCCCTTTGTCTCTTGCCCTCAAGGGTAGATCACAACTTGAGTTGGGGCACCACCGACACTCGGGGAGCTGTTCTAGCAAGGTGTTTGTTACACAAGAACGTGGTGGAGATCCTGTTTGGTTTCTTTGCATGCATCTCTGACCGTCGCATGTGTACCTCTGATTCCTTGCCTCCTATGTACACGAACACAACATATTTCCCCTCAAAAAAGGCAAGCCCGTGTTATCCTCGTGTAGCAAGCAAATAGCTTTCACGACGTAAGGGCGTTCCACAAGTTTTTTTCGATCAGCCAGGAACGTGTTTGCGGTAGCTCGCTCACACATTCATACACGGTGGCAGCTGCTCCGCTGTCCCTACAAGGCCACAAGGCTACCGTAAGACAGAGAGTCCATCGTCCACGGTTCTCGGTTTTATTTTTCTCCCGCCTCCCGTGTATCCCCTCTCCTGTTGGCTATGCTGGCGTCACACCGGCCATTCTTCCAGGCGGATGTGGAGAGGTTTGTTTTCATCTCCGCAGCGGGGGCACAGCACGACCACCCGGTCATGAAGGGGTACTGGAAGGGGAAACAGAAAGCCGAAAAAGCCATCCTAGAAAGGTGAGCCTTTGCCCTGATGGGGTCGCCCTGAGCACGCTCGCTCCCGGCTGGATTTCCAACCTCAACACTATCAAATGCTTCCGACGGCCAGCACAGGCGGTGGAAAGGCAGGGGGCGGCGGCGAGCGTGCTTGAATTATCGGGGTCTAATTCGGAACCCAACGTTTTGTGTGCGGAAGGACCACACTTAAGCCTGCTATTTGCTCCTATTCTGTGTTGTGCAAAGGGTGTTTTATTTGATTGATTGTGTTATTGTGTCTGTTGTTAGTGCTGCTGTTCGCATGAGATCCAGGAATCTAGTCTTTGATCACGAGCTTGTCATAAAGCCGGTCAGAAGCCGGCAAATAATACAACCAAGAGAGCGAGCACGAGATAACGAATGCTCTGAAGGGGGGCTTCATGTACATATCGGAAGTGTTTTTTTTTTTTTCGCTTTTAGTTCATTTTTGCGTTTTTTTTTTTTTTGCGTGTGCTGGTACAGGTTTCCAGATGGAGGCGTTGTCCTGCGCGCCCCCGGCATCTACGGAGACAGGGACGTCGGACCCGTCACTATTCCCCTCGGAGCATTGATGAGACCTATGGAGATGGTACGTAGGAGAGCTCGTGTGCTCACCCCTGAACAGATTTTTCGGAAAACACAGCGCTCATGGCGACCCTGCTCCGAACATGTTTGATAGATGAAGGCGCTCATGTCTCTCGCACGAAGCAAAGTGGTGCAACAATCGAAGTTGCGCTGAGGCGTTGAGAGGGTCGGGTGGCCCCGAATCCCGGGCGCTCTGTTGCCACAGGCACTTGAGTTCCACGCTCCACCGGTTCAACTACGCACTGACGTCCGCATTACCGTTAGATAGAAAATTGGTTGATGGGGGTGCACAGAGAGTGACGTCTGTATGATCATTCAAAACTTCAAAAATCCGATTACGCACGAAGCAGTATTGCCGTACTTTGTCACACCACGTACAGGCGAACGAACGCCTACCTATGTATCCGAAAGCAAGAAATAAGAGGATCTCTGACCCCTTTTCTCCTGACGCGTTTGCCTTCCCTCGTCTGTTGGTTTCTTTCGTGAAAAGCTGTTCAACCTGGCGCCCTTCGCAGCCGTTCGCAGCTCCAGCCCTCTCGAGGCAATGCTGACCCCTCCAGTGGCGGTGGAGAACGTGAGCCGTGTGGCGGCCGCGGGTGCGCTGGGTCTCGTGCCTGGGGGGGTTTTGCTAGTAGACGACATTAATCGACTTGCGACAGATTGTACATGATTGTTTTTCCCTGACGGTCGGCCGCGCGGCTATTTAGCTGCAAGCAAGACTGCTGTTCGATTTTGTGCAGCGGTCGTCGCGGAAGTGTGCGTCCACGCCTTGGGTAGAAGATTAGTGTGCGTTGAAAGTATAGCAGTTCGGAATCCTCGGGGATAGGGGGCTGTGTGCAGGGAGCGTGGATGGCAAGAGGGGGCTACTTGTAGCTCGGGGAATAACCGTCCGCTTATCCCCGGATCTGATTTCCCCGCAATGATTGGTTAGAGGGATCTGAAGCACGGTCTGTGTTAACGAAGCGGGTGGCATGAAGTACACAAAATATGGAAGCTACGAAGAGGCGCACGAAAAGGAGGGAAATGTTTGCACCCATTTCTTTGGGTTACGCCTTTGTGCATAGGACCAACACCGCGGGAGAGAGAGAGAGAATCAGCCCTCCTGTGATACCGAGGATACGACATGACGGCCAAACCCCCGGCATGAGAAAAAAACGAGGCGCACGACCGCGCATTCACTCTCATTGGCTGTCTTTACATTGTGTATGGCAACTCGACGAGTATCGTCGCGTTGCCTGTCTGAAGCTTTCGATTTTTGCAGCGGGTAGCAATCAAGGTAGACACCAAGAAGACGCCCGATGAGCACACAGGAACCGGGGGACCCCAAAAAACAAAGCATAATAAAAGAAGCGAGAACAAACGAGCCAGACGCGACAAGCTTCAGGGAGGAGGCAAAAGAGAGCATAGAAGAAAAGCACCGTCGCCGCTCGCTCCGGACCGCTTGAAACTCTCACATATAGCACTACATATGCAGCAAATATCAGGTAGGGCCCAAGTCCATTGCTTGGCATAACGCCCATCGCTTCACATGCAGCAGCCGGATGCACGGGTAGCCTCTTACTCAGCAAAAAGCGAAACGACTGCGGTTGGTTGACGTTCGATGTTGTTGGGACCCTACCGGCGAAAGGCGAGAGAAAGAGAGATAGGTAGACAAAAAGAAGAGAGCGGAGAGAAGACAAGGCATTGACCCTCTCGAGAAGACACTCACTCTCGTCCCTCTGGCCCACCGCAGGCTGTCAAACATGATGTCACGTCGTGTATCGAACGGCGATATCCGATGTCGGCTCAGCAACAGCAAACAAGCACAACAAACAAATGTAGTCGCCGTTTGCGAGCTGTGGACTATCTTGTTGTAGGAAGTGAAAACTAAAAAGAGCATGATGACTACATAGCACCACGGACAAACTATTATCTCAATACGCTTGCTTGCCGTCCGCCATAGATGCGCACCGCTGCACGAACGAGCTGTTGGTTATCATACCTCACTACGTAGATTGTTGTGCTCCCATCTACCTTACTTATCGCTCAAATTACGACTACGCAGCAGACGTAAGGAAGCAACACGCTTGCCGATGCATACCACCCATCCACGCATGCAGCAAAACAAAAAAGCTAATAAGGCGGACCGTCTGTTGTTGTTTGTCTCTTCAACTAAATGTGCTGCCGACAACGACACTGGAAAAAAGTAGGAGACGCGCATCGCCTACGCGAGCAACGCGTGCAGCCCAAAACAACAGAGACGATAACCTTACGACCTTTGCAGCACATTCCGAGCATATACTGCAGCAACCGCAAGTATGTGTACAGCAGCAGCCGCACGTTGTGTACAACGGTCACTCATAGGCCTGTGCTCCGTAGGTGATCACCGAAAATCACCGAATTTTGAAAAGGTCACCGAAAAAAGTGAGGATTTTGAATCACCGAAAAAAAAGTGGCCGATCACCGAAAACGGGCGGTGCCTCACTGATTGTTGCCGGCGCCCACCGATTTTCACCGTTTTTTTTTAGGGGGCTCCGTGTATACAGGCTATACCCCCTAAATCCCATCAGATACCCCCCCTCAAGCGCAGCAGCACAGCAGCAGAGCACACAGCACACAGCACACAGCGCACGCAACCCAAGCACCGCGCTGCAGACACCACCCACGGTAAACGGTACGGACACACTTGTGGTATAGATGAGCGGTCTCCTCGGAATAGGGCTGTACTCCAGCAGTAGTGATGGCGAAGATTCCGAATGTGAGCTTCTCTCCTCCTCGACAGCCACTTCCCCTGCTCCCAAGCGCCGTCGGCCTTCTTCTGCTGTCGGCGGCAGTGCCAATGCCCAACCCCTTGCCGTTGCTGGAGCAACTGCTGAAGATTGTGAGGTTATCTCCCGCTCGACACCCGCGTCCCGTGCTCCCGAGCGCCGTCTCCGCCTGCCGTCTGCTGTTGGTGACAGTCCCGCCGCTGGAGCGGCGGCGGCGGCGGCTCCGGCGGCGGCGGCGGCTCCAGCGGCGGCGGTGGCTCCAGCGGCGGCTGCTACTGCTGGTGTCCCACGATCTTCAGCGGCTGTTTGGGTTGCTAGCTATCATCGTGTCAGAGCCCGTGCTGCCGTTCGTAGCACCTTGGCCGCCCAAGGTGACAGTGAGCGTCGCAATGGAGCCGGTGCTTCTAGCGTCCCCGCGCCTGGCCGTCCCCGCGCGTACGCACACGAGAGGATCGGCAGCCACTCTGAGGCGAAGCTGGCTGAAACAATGAAGCTCTTCAAAGCCGCAAAGCTCGTGGACTTCACGTACATGAAGACTCACAAGTACTCCAATGACGAGATCCGCAGCCTCTCGGTATTCCCCTTTGTCGGCGATGACATGGTGGACGGACTTTTGAAGGAGAAGAACGACTTCTACGTCGCCGCCACCGACACCGACGCTGACTACGACAACATGACTTTTTGGAGCAACAACAAGAGACAACTCCCTACGTGGCACGAGTTGGTGTTGGATATTGTTCTTCTGCAGCCGTCGTCAGCATTCATGGAACGCGTTTTTTCCATCTTGCGGTGTTGCTTTAGTGAACGTCAAGAGTCGGTGTACAGCGACCGCATATGCGCTTCCGCACTACTGAAGTACAATAGGGGAAGGGGAAGTAGCAGAGGGCTGAGGCAAGGGAGTGAGGATGCCCCGGAGGATGGCGACGGTGACCTGTGATGGAGCTTCTTGGTTTATTGTCTACGTTGTTGGGCGAGCCGGGCTCTGGCTGATCTGTAGCTGTAGTGCGTGGTGCGTAGTGCGTGCCTGTGTACCAGGTCGGTAGGTAGTCAGCAGTTGAATCATGCCGGAGGGCATCTATCGGTGTTCTGATGAGTCGACGATGAGATACATACGTACAAAAAGAACCACCAGAGTTCGTACAACGTTTTTATTTTTGCTTAATATTTGACGTTACTTACTACGATCCTTCGAAACATCGCCGAAAATCTCCGAAGAACGTTTTTCGGCAGCTCACCGCCAATATTACTTCAATTTATCACCGAAAATCACCGAAAAAGTTTTGTATGGTTCTCACCTTTTTTTTTGTTTTGTCGCCGATTTTCACCGAAAAACGTTTTCGTGCAGCTAGAATAATCACCGATTTTTTTTTTGGTAATCGGAAAAAATCACCGAAAAAAAAAAAAAAAAGTCACCTACGGAGCACAGGCCTAGTCACTCAGGAAGAAAATCACAATAACAAACGCAAAAACAAAAAAAGAGGTGGCGCGCAGCACGCAGGACCCTCTTTCGCTGTTCATCAACCGGCCATTCCCATGGCGAAACAGACAAGGTACAGTAGTGAAGGCCGATTCTTGCCGACCCCAGGAGGCGGAAGCTGCTCAAACTCGGGGACGGGTCATGATTTGCGATTGATTCCCCACCGAACGGGTATCGAACGATGACACTGTTGTTTCAACTACCTTCAGAAATGCTTCAGAATTGTGAAACTTGCAGGGCCCAGTCATAGACATGGCAAGTAAACACCCCCTTCCAAAGAGTATCTGTCGTTGATTTCTATTGACTTGCGGACCTCTTGGGGGCCAGTTTGGTTTAGCGTACCGCTTTAGGGTAAGTTAGCCTATGACCACGGGAATCGACCGCGCCAAGTGTTGGATCAGTACGGACATATGAAGGTACTGGGTAGAGAGAGATCGGAACGGTTTTAATCATTGGCTGTCTTTACACAGTGACTTGTGTGGGACGAGACCTGTGACGGCATGGCAGCGCCAATAAGAAAGAGAACGCGAGCCAAAAGACGATAGATACCACCACGCCCGGGTGTTGTTGAACCTTGGACATTTTCCCCACTCTTGTTTGTCGGAAGGAGTTAAACTACAGATGGTTCGGAAAACCGGCATGCGGTTGCAGATACGGAAAAGTGGGCGGGTAACTTTGGGGTAAAAAGCGACCACCGTTTCCGGCTTTTGTCGAAACACTTGTTCACTGCAACAAAAAGAACCACCCTCTCCCGCGTTTTGCCTACGCCAATACCGTACAGACCTCTCCATCTCCTCTTGTATGCACGGACCCAATCGGTGAAAACGAATTCCCGTAGCCATAGGCAAAACTTCCTATAGATGCACAAACCTACCAGAGGAGAAACATGAAGGCAGATGAACACACAAGGAAGTTGTCACGGCTCGGGCTGTACAGACGCCTCAAAGTGAACAGTTCAGCCACTTTTTTAGTCTACGCAGCACCAACAGCCCATATACTCGTAAACGTCGTCTATTCTAGCCGCAGAAATTGCAGCTTGTTCTGTTTCATCACGGTGTACAAGCGTTAGTCTGGGTATTTCTCGAACGAGATTCACCGCTTCAACCCAGCGACTACTTCCCCCGCCGGCTTCGCCCCCTTTCAGTGATTGATCGCTTCGTTGTAGTTGAAAACAGTCAAACCACATCGTTGTTTCTCTTGCTGCTGACAAGAAGTGCTGTCACTTGGCATCATCCCCAAGTGCTTCAACGATCAAACTATTGCTGATGTTCCTGTGGGACAATCCCCGCTGCGCCATCTCTCTCACTAGGCAAACAGCCTCCTCCCGCCTGCCACCCTTCCCGCACGCCTCGATGGCCAGGCTGTAGCTCGTAGCCGTTGGTGATACTCCGTGCGCTCCCATCAAGTTTAGCAGACCCAGGGCCTTTTCCCACTCCCCCTCGGCGTTGCATGCCCTGATGGCTGACGTGTAGCTGATGACATCCGGGGTTAGTCCCTCCGCCGGCATCTCTCGCAGCAGGTCCAGAGCCTCTTCCCAACGACCACGCTTGCCGCATGCCGAGATTGCTAAGTTGTAGCTCATCAAGTCAGGGGCTACTGCCGTCTCTTTCAACTCTTTCAGTAGATCGAGGGCCTTCTCCCATTCACCGCCCCTTCCGCAAGCTTTGATAACCGAATTGTAGGTAATTACATTCGGGGTCAATCCCTTGGTTGGCATCTGTCGTAGCAACTCCACAGCCCTCTCCCACTGCCCATTCTTGCCGTACGCGTCAATGGCCGCGGTATAACTGATGACATCCGGGGTTAGTCCCTGTCCTGGCATTTCTCTCAGTAATGCCACAGCCTCCTTCCACCGACCACGCTTGCTGCATGCAGCGATAGCCGAGTTGTAGGTTATCGAGTCAGGGGTCATTGCTAGCTCCTTCATCTTCGCCAGCAGGTCCAGGGCCTTCTCCCACTGGCCACCCTTTCCACACGTTTTGATGGCCGAATTGTACGTTATTACATTCGGGGTTAATCCCTGCGCTGGCATCTGCCTTAGCAACTCCAAGCCCTCTTGCCACCGCCCTCTCTCACCGCACGCCCTGATCGCAATATTGCTGCTGATAACGTTCGGGGTTAACCCCTTTGTTGGCATCTGTCTTCGCAGTTCCAATGCCATCTCCCACTGACCACCCTTACCGCACGCCTCAATGGCTGAGTTGTAGCTGATGGCGTCCGGTTTCAATCGCTTTGCTGGCATCTCCTTCAGCAATTCTAAAGCTTCCTTCCAGCGACCACTCTTGGTGCAGGCGGCGATGGCCGAGTTGAAACTGGTGGCATCAGGCGTCAGTCCCAGCGCCGTTACTTCCCTGAGAAGCTCCACAGCTTTCTCCCACTGACCCCCCTTTCCGCAGGCCACGATCGCCGAGTTAAAGTGAATCGTGTTTGGGGCTACCCCACGTCCAGCCATCTCATCCAGTAGGTCCACACTCGTCTCCCACTGCCCGCCACCCCCGCACGCCTTGATCGCCGCGTCGTAGCTGATGACGTCTGGAGTCACCCCTTGTGACTCCATCTGTCGTAGCACCTCCACGGCCTCCTTCCACCGACCGCTCCTACCGCACGCCCTGATGGCCATGTTGTAGCTGATCGTTTCGGGAGTCAACCCCTTGGCCGACATTTCTGTCAGCACACTCAACGCCTCCTTCCACTGCCCCTCTTTTCCGCACCCCGTGATGACCGAGTTGTAGGTGATGGCATCGGGCGTCAACCCCACCGATGGCATCTCTCTAAGCAGACCTATCACTCTCTCCCACTGACCACCCCTTCCGCACGCCTTTATCGCGGAATTGTAGCTGATCTCGTCGGGGACCACCTCTCTGTCCGCCATTTCTCTCAAGAGGCTTACGGCTATTTCCCATTGATCGCCGCTCCCGCAAGCCTCTATGGCCGAGTTGTAGCAGAACACGTTGGGCGATACCCCTTCCTGCTCCGGGATCTCTCGCAGCAGCTCCAAGGCCTTCTCCCACTGCCCCTGCCTTCCGCACGTCGTGATGGCTGTGGTGTACGAGTGCGCACAGACAACCCCGCCCTCCTTCATCTCATCGAGGATGCCGAGGGCTTCTCTCCACTTCCCCGTTGTCGCCGCTTCTCGCAACGCCGCCTGAAGCTTCCGCGCAGCCCTGGAATTCGCCCGAGCAGCCCCTTGCATCGTCACAACCGCCGTGGCTTCTCCCAACTTTGGGGCTGCCCGGCAACAACTCCGCGCGTGCCGGCGCATCGGAGAGGAGTGGTACACCCCTCCTGCGGCGCCGCCGCACGCCGGGTGCGCGGGTATCGCGGAATGCGAAGGACCACGGGCTGCGCTTCCTGTCGGCACACACACGCGGCAGCGTCGCAGGGGCGGGGGACGGCGGGGAACGGCGGCGATGGTGCGGTTATTGAAGCACAAGGCGCATGGTCGCAAATCGTGGAAACTTTGGATCTTCCGGGAAGGATATGGATTCCCTTACCCGCCTGTGACGCAGGAGCACCGCACCACCGAATATGTGGCACTACGTCGTCGATTTCAACTGCTGTCCTGTTGCGAGCAACCCTTCTCTACCTCGGGAAATCAAGGGCCGGGTGACGTCGAAAGGACCAACGATCTGGAGTTTCTATTTTGGGTGCTGCTGGTGGTCAGCAAACGCAACTCATTACAAGATACCTTGAAGAGAGTCACCGATACGCACCTGATGAAACGCCCTCTACTACTGCTGTCTCGTGGATATGCCTTGGTAAGTGCGGTGCTCGTGAAAACGCATGATTTCGTTGTATGTTCAAGTTTCGAGGTTGCTGGCTTGACATCTGCACCCGGAGCAGCGTAGGCCTAGTTTTCAGGCAGGATAACTCGCGGCGGGTCTCAGGGGGACAACCCCAACGGCTGTGCACAACCCTAGCTACGGCTAAATCCTATCATTCTCAAGATGACATCTCAATTTGCTCCGCCGGGTGCATGTTCCGAGTGCCAGCAACGCGCGCAAAGCTCAAGAGCGCACAGACCGCCCCATTGCCGTGACGACCAGCCATGAATGTTTTAATCGTGCCTGTGTCTCGCTTCGCCGCCGAGTTCAATCCTAGACTTCGTCGACATCTACAATGTCGCTGTGTTGTGTAGGCTGCTTGCTCTGTACCCCTGCCTCGCAACACAGCCATCCCGCAACCATGGGTAGGCTGCTTGCTCTGTACCCCTGCCTCTCAACACAGCCATCCCCGCCACGAACACACCTTTGTATTTTCATGTACGGGCCGGGCCCCTCAAGCACCAAGGTCAAACGACCCCTGTGCCTCGCCGCGCCACGCCATCTTTACCCGATCTCCCCGCGACTTTTTTACAGCAGGTCGCGCCCGCACTTGAGTGAGAACTTCTAGTTTTCGCCGAGGCTGAGGTTCTTAGTTCCTACGGTGGGGTTATACTACAAATGGCCGCTACATTGTAGGTGATAATGAAGGGTTCTTGACCCGGCTCACGCATGGTGGTCAATTTCTTTTGAGTTTTTGAGTTTTTCCAGGCTCGATTTTCTTAACTGCCAAGCTTCTTGTGTGCGGGCGCGAACTGTGCAATACGAGGGGCGGTACCGTACAACCTAAACCTTCTCCTGTCGCTGACGACCTACAAATAGCGAAGACGGTCCTCGCCGCCAATTCTCACTGGCCATATATAGATACCTGTTGGAACATTGCAGCAGTTTTCCCAAGGATAACATTTATTTCCTCCCACCTTTCGACATCGGCCCCGATATTGGCCCGCCGACGAAGCCGCTCCCTCCTCGCGCAGAGCACGCAAACACCAGCAAGGCCAGAAGGGACTCGGGCAATGAAGCTGCCGCCCACCCTCCCGGTCTATTTTGTGCCATTGTCGAGCCTGGCAATATGTGCAGAGAGAGGGCGGCAGCGACCAGATTAAACGTGTTTAGCCCCGGGCGAAGAGAGGGCGACAAAGCCACTGCTGTGTTCCCTACAGTCTTGTTGACGAGTGGTACCGTAATTGACACAAGGTACCACACCCCCTAGACCGATTTTCGAAGGTCGACTACCGGTACTCCACGACGAAGACGATGGATAAACGAAATCATACGATTACGGAAAGATTTCGATGAGACGACTTCAACGCCGCTGTTTTTTGGCCCTGCCACTCATTCTGTTGTGGAGACATCGGCCCGCCGGGGGTGTGGTGTCTTGTGCCACGTACGGTATTCCGCCGCCTATCCTAGTACTAGTACTAGTACTTGTATTGGCCAATATATGCGTGGATTCAAAAATACTATTAGCGTGCCTCGGGACCGACTATTAACGTAGGCTGTAGGCTACCTATGGAGGGAGGTCAAATATTGATGGAATGTGAATGGCGGGTTAGACTACAGAGTACTCTTCTGAATAAAAGAACGCCAATCATTTCATGTACAATCGATAGGGTGCCAGCAAGGTTGTAGTTGACATGCAAACAATACACACAAGCATTAACGAAACTACTTCAGTACACTGGAGACAAAATAGTTCGAACCGCTCAAAACACAAGAGTGCGCATTACCACCAAGAGAGATGGGGTTCGGGGTAAGACGACCGACCAGAGTAACGAGAATCCTGGGGTAGGTCCGCGAGTGCCGTGCGCCCGACACATCGTCACGCACAGCAAGCAGTCACAGCAGTTGCTGGTTGCCTGTCGCCGATCGCTGCACAGAAGTACATGGTGTGTGACAACTCTGCAATGTAAGCTGAAGACTTGATGGCAACAACCAATGCGTCACCTGCTCTTGTCACGGCTGCCGCCCGCCAAAGGGCCGAACGTGTGTGTGTTGGCTGCCCTACCGCTGTCCGCACGTCCGCACTGACTGTCTGATTGTCGAGCTTTTGCAGTTCTCCGGGCCGAAGGCATAGGCATGAGGAATGAGGAAGGGAGGGGGGGGGGGGGGTCGTGACTTCAACCTGGATGGCAGATGCGGCGCAACTGCAACACACACCGAGAGTGAGCGACGTACAGACTAGACCACCACCACACTGCAACTGCTGCTGCTGTGTAAGCTGTGACCACACGCACCGCGATGGTGATGTTACGCAACTATGCAGTCCTGTTCCTGGTGTGGAACGCTCTTACGACGGCGAGAGTACTCGGCTTCGTGCTCCGCCCTCCCGTTCGGTTTGGACATCTCGATCGATCGCCAGCTCAAGCGAGACATGTTGTTACCAGTGCGACCAGGCTGGGGATGATGTCCGAGGATTTTGGCGAGGAAGATAGTTTCGGGGCGAGGGCTATGCAGGAGAGAACCCACGCGGAGCTGCAGGAGATGGTATCCTCGCACAACATCTTGGCTTTTATCAAGGCAAGCTTGCGCCAAGGTTCAACCTCCAGGGAAATGGCAATTTCGCTGTACTGCTGTAGTCTAATGCAACCTGTGTCGTATCCGTGTGCTCCATGTCACGGCGGTGTCGTATGCATAACATAAAACACGAAATCCGTGGGGTCCCTGTTCACCTTATTTCAGAATCATGTCGTGAGAAGGACACCAACGAATGATTTACACCACACGTTCAACACGAAGAGCGGAATCTACTGCTGCTGCTGTTGTGTGCTGTACCATTGGTACACTGCGTTTGTTTGGCGGAGGGGGGAGAACGTTCGTTCGTGGAACGCGATGAAAACGACCGACAACGGGGGGGGAGGTTTGACCACAAGCATAAAGACTGCGAGGGTTGTGGATACTAAACTGCTCTGTCCACCTATGTAGCCCACACCTACGATCAACGATTCAAGAGACTAAGCAAGCACCGCACGCCACGCATGCCCCCGCCACTTCGAGGTGTCGCAAGACGTCATGTACGTGAATCTTGATGACAAGGTGCACGCGCAAGTAGAAAGAGGAGCATCCCCACGGGATCGACTCTAACAGAGGGGGGAGAGGGGGTTTCCCAAAATTGAGTAGCGCCGGGGCCAAGGGCAAAGGGCAACAGAGGGTATGTCCCTATATTTCTGGGCACAGCAGGGTGCCACCTACAGTATGATGCTGATTGGCCAACACAACAGCCTACAACCCACGGCCAGCGTTGGGTAGGGAATACCCGCTATCTAGTGGCTGCTCAGCGTCCACCTTTTCACTTCTGCAGTGTGGAGTTGTGAGCTACGCGTTGCTTACTTTTCGACATGACCCACATTCTTCTGCAGACCCTATACCTACCTCCTCCTGGCCGGAAATGCGGACTCTTCCGGATTCGTGGCCTCCCAAACCTTGCCCTTCGCCCACAAGTCGCCGTCACATGAAATGACCGATGCACTCAACCGCCCATAAGGATAATGGGAAAACCTGAGGTGGAGCTGCGGAGTAACTTGCCACGCACACGGCTAGCTCGAGAGAGGTGTACTTGCGCGAAGCTATGGTTGAACGCCGACCTGACAGGCATAGAGAGGACTGACTTGCTTCCTCTCGCATGGGAGACACGTTGTAAAGCCTGTCGTCTGTGGAGCTTTGGTGACGCACACACGATGAGCCTAGCGAGGAACACATTTTTTCATTATCACCAGGGGCATACGAACACAGCCCCAGCTCTGCGAAATCGCGGTCGACGCACAGCACAACAAGCGAAAATCGAACAACTTGTCTCAGAATTTTTCAAGGCGTAGTGCAGGCCCTCCCACATGCACACCACGAGTGGCACTACTATACATGGCAAGTCACGTCTCACCTACTGCTGCACGGAGAAATACATTTCCCCCCCGAGTATTGTAAGAGGTTGTGCAGGGCCTTGCTTTCTTTTGTGAGAAGGTGTGGGCGTCTCCGGCACCTTTTTCGCCGAGCCGAGCTTCTGCGCTGCACCAAGCTGAACGACCCTACTACCGTTTACCTTCGGCGCAGCGGAGTCAGTCTGTGAGCATGTATGTACATGCAGCTACAGTTTCATTTTCATCTTTGTTTCTGCCGGAGGGTTGGGTGAGGGGAAGTTATGGCGCACCAGCTGCACTCGCGAGCTCTTCGTTTGTATCCTTGCGAGCTGTTGAGTGCGTCGACCACCTCATGTGGCGGCGGCTTGCAGGCGAAGAGCCGGGAGCTGAAGGCCAGGAACCCCAAAACATGAGTTCAGACTTCCGGCCTGGAGCGGGTATAGGGCCGGCAACATAACACGTATGGGTCAAGACCGAGAAACGTCCAGCGCGCAGCTGACACTTCCACAAAACAGAAGTGCGCAGGCGAAACCCGAGTAGCCGTATTCGACTCGCCCACGCTCGGTTCAGTCGGCGCCCTGCCACGACCGGATAAGCTCAGGGGACACCCTCTTCCCAGCCGCTGCCTCAGCGCCAACCCAACGTTCTCACCACGCGTTGGGCCGCTTCCTTTTAGGGGGGAAACTGGAAGCAGGTCGCCGTGTGCCCTGCAAAGCACGTGCGGCATGATTGACGTGAACAAGTTCTTGCCAGAGCGGTTGTTCCCTTGATCACATTCGAGAAGAAACTCGGTTGTGGGTGTCCCCGAGTGCGTGGGCGTTTTGGGATGCGCGACAGAACTTTGTCTTGATATTTTTTCGTGCACTGCAACCTAAATCGTCCACGGTCATTCCCGTCGGTCGGTCCCCTGGGAACTTTAAGGCTTGCGGTATCCCCCAATATATGCTTAACCCTCAGTTCCAGATAAAAGTGCCTCATGTGCTGTAAATCGGTTTGTCCCTGAAATATAGCGTTTAACTCGTTTTTCGGTCGCACGATGATATTCAACATTTGGGAGCGTGCAATCATTGCCGTTATTCTGTCCTTACCAATCATGCCTGTATCATCGCCCTCTCGCTCTTGTATGTTGGTATTCCACGCTATCGCTCCCTGCTGATACAGGGCAATCGGCTTATGCCGCAGTGCGGCTACAGCGGCACTTTGGTGAACATCCTGCAAAGCCTGTCGGTGCCGTTCGAGACTGTCGACGTTCTGGCCGACGAGCGCATCCGACAAGGAATAAAGGCAAGAAAGAGGGAGGGTCTTCTTCTTCCTCAGGGTTCGTCTGCCTTGTATTTGTTATTGATTGCTTGGTCTCTTGGTTAGACTAGCGTGCCCTGGCATGAGATCGGGGCGACTTGGCATCGTTATTTTTTGTCGCTTGGGCCTGCAGCCTTTGAAACACTCCCGTAACGGCCAAGAAGAAGTATCCGCTCAAACCTGTCGCTCCTCCCACAACTATTACCTGGTTACACGTCGACAGGCGTTGTTCAAGTTTAGCGGATGTCTGCGATGGGACCCTAGATACTACCAATACGCAGTAACTCTGTGCTTCCACGTGCAGCTGTAGACTCCCTCCCTTCCCGTTCTTGTTTTTGTTCTTTATTGTCTTCACTTCATATCAGCGTTCTTGGGTTGCTAGTGGGGTCTTTGGTTGACGCATGTGCGTGCGTTCTCATGTTTGACCAGTCAAGTGCCCTTTGTTTTTTTTATCCATGACCACACCGCTGTGGTCCAAGGGGGGAGTGAGTTCGAATCAGTTGTTGGTGGACATAACATGTTTCCTAGGAAAATGACGAGTGTCCGTCAAGCTAGTGGCAGGGTGGGGGGACGCTTCGGGCATCAAATCGTTGTGTGGACATCCTCTTTCTCTCACCCTTCGGTGTCCCTCCTTCCTCGCTCTACCACCCGCAGGACTTCAGCAACTGGCCAACAATCCCGCAGCTGTACCTGGGAGGGGAATTTATTGGCGGCGCCGACATCGTAATTGAGTTGTTCCAATCGGGAGAGTTGCAAGAGATGATTGAAGTTGCTGCGGCATCTTAGAAGAAGCGAGTTTTCTTTTTTTTTGCTGGCACGCTGCGCGTCATGCCCTGCTCGATTTTGTTTTGCAATCCATATCGCTGCTTTCCTCTCGTGGCCTTCTTGCGTTCTGGAGATATAAGCGCCGCCTTGTGTGTTTGTCGGACTGTTGCGGGCGTCTTCCCGGGAATTACTTGACCTCCAACGGCACGGGTGTACCTGGTACGTTGCAGGCTGCCTGACAAATCGCACTATGCGAAAGACGGTGTTGCTGCCCAACCAGCCTCGCGCCCTCAAAGCGCCATAGTCTGTGAGTGTTGCGGTGCCCAAAAGTACGTTCCTAACTTTCCTTCCCTGCACATAAGTATGCTCGCTATAATTTGTCCAGAAATTCCGAGGAGTGGTTCAACGAGGATGGTCCATATCCGCCAGTTGCAGTCGACCGATGGTTGGGCCATATCCCGTCCGTGACCTGTCTCTCTTGGAGAGCTTTACCGTTTGCTTCTTGCCGATGCACATCATCTCTGCGCACCCATATTCCACCATAGGATCTTCCTCGTACACCTTTTTAGTACGTGTAGAGAGCCCCTACCTTACGTATGCAGTCCCCGGCGCACGTTTGATTTCAGCCAGGTCTGTCAGTGGTGGTACTGAAGCAAATACTCAATTGCCAGTATCAGCGCTCTTCACAAGCTATCTATCTGTGGCGAAGGTCTAGCGTATCTACTTTGCCTGACTGATGGCAGCCACATTCTGGTGTGCCGAGGAGGCCCGAGCTCTGCAAAATTCCGGGAATCACTGCTACATATGTTGATTAAGCAGTAGGTCCCAAAAATACCGCGCCCACACGGAACACAGAACTCTGCGTTATGTGCGCGCAGCAAAACAGGAGCGACCATACATTTATTAACCTTTCGCAAAGGCCACGTGCAGCCCTGGTATTCTTATGTGGGGTGTACTTAGTCTTTCGTTGGCATGGCATTCTCAGCAGGAAGGAGGGGACGAGAGGTAGCGCAGCGTGACACTGGAATCGGCGGTGGGGGGGGGGGGCGTATGAATACCCTCCCCGGGTGTTCACCCCGCAATATTTTGGTTCTCGTTTCGAACCGCCTGCCCTGTCTCACAATCTCGCCGCCAGTGCCGTCTTTGCCGCTCCCCCGCACGCGAAGCAGACAATCGCTTCCCTCTCTCCGTCTCCTAAGCCACCACCAACACGCTCGCGGGACTCTTCTTGCGCATGGTAGGGTGAAAAAGGCAAATAAGCGTTGCGCTTACAGCAGCAGCGGTTTCTACTTCGACCTCCGTTTTCGCCATGAGTGGCGATCAGCCGCAGCCGGATCCCGGAACCAAGGCTCTGCTGGGGAGCCTGGAAAGCGTAGTGATGGACCTCAACGACATGGAGAACATGATCGAAAACTTCGAGGAATCTGCGGCGGAGTCGTTCTTCTCGAAAATGTGAAAGAGGAGGAGATGTGCCATGGCGGGCTTGTTGAAGGGATACGGCTGATTTGAGATCTAGGAGAGATAACCGACTATATGCAGTGTACCCTCCTCGCGCCCGCTTGCTACAACCGTTTAGCTTTTCAACAACCAGCGACAAAAGCTTTGGGTGTTGTACCGCTGTGCAAACAAATCTTAGGGTGGGAAATGAGTGAGGGGGGTGACTATACCCTGGTTGTGTTGTTAGATGCGCCCAGCGAGACCTACTGCTGTAGATTATTGTCAACACTATCAGCCCAGTCCAAACAGCAGCGCGCCGCCCGCTGGGTTCGCATGTTGTTGTGGGCAATGAAGGGTGAACGTGTCCTTGTCGAATGTCGCCGGTGTGCCGAGCGAGACACGTCATAATAATTAGAAGAGGAGAAAATGCCCCTGGGCGCTTACCTGACCAGTGGGATGCTGTTGGCTTAGACTAACAGTCTATCCAATATAGGAGGTTCTCTCGCCTTTGTATCGGGCGAGACTTCGCAGTTGTTGTTGTTGTTGTTGTTGTTGTTGTTGTTGTTGTTGTTGTCTTCACATTAAACTCGTGTCAGTTGCTAATCCCAAAATCTAGCAAAGACGCACAGTGCTTGCGTGTGAAAGAGTACGACCGTGTGGAGGTGGGGCATATTCTGATTTTCCGCAAGGCTAGCCCACCTGTGACGGTTTGCTGCGGGTTGCTTCCTCTTCGGTAGACGCCGCACTTTCATATATCTCTGCATCTTTCTCTTCTGCCTGTCTGTCTGTCTGCTGTCTGTCTGCTGTCTGTCTGTCTGTCTGTCTGTCTGTCTGTCTCTCTCTCTCTCTCTCTCTCTCTCTCTCTCTCTCTCTCTCTCTCTCTCTTTTTCTCTCACTCCGCCCCCCCCCCCCCCCTCTCTTTCTCTCTCTTTCTCTCTCCCTCCCTTTCGTTCTCCTTTTCCCTGCGCGTGTCAAGTTTGCTTCGGGAACCTTCGTTTTGAGTACATAAACGCCGCTTATCATGGTCCCCCCCTACCCCGCCACACATGCATGCATGCACCTCTCTTTTCGTCCCTCGGTACTCGCTGTGCGATGCCAGGAATGAGTACATCACGAACCTCAAGAAGGTGGAGGAGAAGGCGCCAGGGTGCCAACTACACGTGCCTCGTGAGGCCCTTGAGTGAGTGAGATACCGTACCGTAAAATTGTCACGACGCATTGTTACGTCTTTTTCGCTTGGTTGTATTTGTCCGTGCCATGCCTGTGGTTGTTGCGCCGCGTTTCGCGGCCGGCGTCTCGAAGGCGCACTTGTGGCTATCTTCGTGTAGATTTCTCTGGTAACCGCAACATGATACTTTACCATGGTGTTGACTGGCTGTGACTGGTGACGTCTGTGTTGACTGTCTGTGGCTTGCGGATACAATTTTCTTGTGAAAATCGTTCCCTGCCCTGCCGCAGACACGGAATCCGATCATGCGTGTTAGGGCTCTCCCTACGCAACGCTTCATTAACTGCCGTTCGGTGGGCTTGCCCTCGCCCACGGCGTGACTCGTCTCCTTGCTTGATGCGTGTCTGTCTAATTCTCTGCCCGTCTGAGCAGGAGAATCGATGACGACGTAGACCAGAACCCGGAGCTTTTCGCGCAAGAGCTTCTCGCCAGGTGCGTACTTTCATCGTTTGTCGTCTCGCCACCATCCCTAGCTCCTGTCACACACAACTACTGCTGAAGCACTTAAAGTTGCTTGCCAAGCGAAATGATCATTTAGATGCTAGTTAGACTACTAGAGAGAACCTCGTGATACATCCCCCCGCCGAGAAAAGTGCCCGCTTTTTTCGTGCATAAGAAGAACGAGGTGTGGAGGAGTTGCTTTGAATGCGTACCTAGACCATTTAAGGATAAGGCAGGGAGCCTCTCTCTTCTGTGTAAGGTGAGCATGGGTAGTTGATATATTGGGCGAATGAATGTAGACCGAGCACGAACCGACAACAAGAGTTGCTGGTATCGGCACCGCCGCATGCCTGTAAGACCCCCACGGGTAAAACCGTCTTGTTGCTGTCGTCTCTCGATGACCCCCCAGCCTAACCCGGTGAAAACCCGGCGTGCTCCGTCCCGGCATTGTAGGGATGCGAGGTCAATGGTCTAACGACTGCGTCATGCGTTTACTCAAGTATCCCCCCCCTCTGCACGTTGTTGAGCCAACCCTGCATTTTGCTCGCGGATGGCGAGCATCACAGCAACGCTGTGTACTAAGCATTCAAGCTATACACGTGCCGTCACACCGGCACCGCAGGTGCAAAGACGAGTCCGGGCAGCTGAGTGCGAGAGTCCTCGGCATAAAAAAAGTGCGTCAAACTGTCATGGAGGGCTGGAGAACCGAAGGCAGCGGGCCTGTCAACGGTGCCACGCCTTCCGCGGGTGGTGCTGCTGTTGGGCCAAACGGGGCGGCAGCTTTGGCACACGGTAGGGCAGGTTCAGCACAAAAGGCAACAGCAGAAGGGGCTGAGGGAGGAGGGGTCGGCGTCTTGCCGAAGGGGGTAGGTGGAAAGGGGGCGCCTGGTTACAGCAGTAGCAGCAGCCGTGGTTAAGGAGCGTCGACCCTCTTTTGTGGCAGCCTTCTTTCTTTGTCGTTTCTATCCCACAGGCTGTTTGTGCAGGATGGTAAGGTGCTGAGAGGGAGCCATGTGCGCAACGACGACAGCACCAGTGAGTGATGGATGCCATCCCCGCCTTGTCAAGGTTTGGCTCGTCGTACACTCCTGGTTCGCCGAGGAAAAACCTACACGGGGGAGGAGGGGTCCTTGATCGAACTTCGTCACTCTTGAGAAAATGAAAAAGAAACTTTATGTTGTACGAGGAAGGTATTTGTGTTGGGCAGTGCGGGTGGGCGCTGTGGCTGAGCTTGACAAATGTCCGAAATGGCACATGATGTATGTTCTGTTTCGGACACGAGGGTATCGGCGCCTGTCAATGATGGCCGCACCTGTACACATCTCATCGAAGAAGCTGAAGTGTATCAGTTTTGTTTCCGAGCGAGATCCCGCAAGGATTTCTCCTATTATTTAGTCGGGCTTGTTTTCACTTGGTCCCAACATCAATGTTGCTTGCTGTGCGTGTTGGGTGTTGATGTCGTCCGTTAAATGTTGGTGTTTTTGTGTGCCACACACCGAGGTTGGGGGGGAAGGGGTGGGCGTTATGGGGGGCTCCTGTGTAGCGTGCCCGTTTTTGGCGCAGTTTTCGGTTAGTTGCGTTGTACCTGCTCCTGCTTGCTTGGTGTTCTGTTGTATTTTCTGTGTGGCGGTGGACTGCGTGTGCCTTAGGTTTTGAGCTACAGGCTCGGTGTTTGGCATTTGTATGGCGAGCAGACACCAGGCTAGACCTCTCGTGAGAGAGTGAGAGCAGCGGCAGCATCATCTGCTGGCTGCACTTACTGCAGGCATGCAGGTTCAGGTATACATAATAAACCCTTATTTTTACCCTGGGATGAAACGTCAAAAATATATCTCCGTGTCGCAACATGTATTGCCAGACAGTTTCTTTGGCGACACGGCATTCACACTTTGATAAATGCGTGGCCTTTCCTCCTCTCATAGATGTGAAGTGAAACGGTGGTACCGCTGCTGCTGTAGTCCCCTGCTACGGATCGGCTATGCATACGAATAGGACTGCTTACACTTGGTCTTTCTTGCCCACTCAGCTACACTAATAGTAATGCATCCTCCAGAAGCACCAATCAATAAGGAATGGTCTGTCATCAGTCTGATTCGCCATTTCCGGGTCTTTCTTGTCCAGCGAGATGTTTCTTTTTGGAGGCGGGCACCAATCGATACGAGAATCTCACAAGTCACCGTCACTCTGATCCATGTCCGCAGATTCCTTTCGTCGCCCATGACACATGACAAGACAATTCGCAACGAGCAGAGATTGCGAGTTTGACTGAGATTGTGACAGGTGACACCACGAGATGGTGGGGCAACGTGCTGACGTCACACCAAGAAACAAACAAATGTGTGCGGTGAATCTCGCTGATGTCTTTGTGTGTGGGCCGTCGGACGAGAAACGTTCACCGCACACAACCAGGCAACCATACAAGTGCAGACGAACCACAAGTGTTAACCTCACCATACAGGAATGCACCAATGGCGTTGGTTTCGAACATGAGATTGGGAGTTTGTTTGTGCCCTGTGTTCCCATGTGCGGGAGAAGACTAAGCTTTCCAGAAGACGTTAATGTGCTCTCTGAAGGAAGGATCGCTCACGCCAACTCGCGATCTGTGCATCATGCATATCCTTGCCAGAGCAAGACTCAACCCGACAGTAACGACCTCTTTGCATTGCAATGCCGTCGCCTCATCATGAAGTACCCTGGGTGTAATGTAAGAACCAAGCGGTCGTATGATAGGGCGCGCTTGAAGACGAGACGTACGAGAAGCACTCAAAAATTGTCTATTGTCTATTTGTGTCTAATTCAAGATGGAGGTGATCGGCGTTGAATAGCTCCAAGCCGTTCCCTATTGCCTATTGCAATCTGCGTTCCCTTTTGTTCGTGTGTGTTTTATGCCCGCTTATAACTTCACGGCGAAGAAGTTGACAAGCTTAAGTCCACCCACTGACCAGCAAACCGGCGGAGCGGATACAAAAGAAAAGGGAAACACGAAACGTTGCACGAGAACCCCCAGGAACAACTGCACCGTGAGGCCGTCACATTCAACATGCAACAGGCCAAACACAGGAGTCCCGGCTTCAACATTCCCCCCCCTACCTCCTTTCGCCCGTAACAGGCCCTTCACAGAATACAAAACTGCGAGCACAGGGAGCGGAGCGTTCAACGGAACTGGCTAGGCTAGTCGAGTCTCCTTCTCTAAAATTCACACCAAAAAAAGACGCAAAAACGACCAAAATAACACCCTAATTCAAATCCAACCCCTGCAAGCGAGTCTTCTGCTCCGCCCCACACCGCCCTCACCGAACGATGAAAGGCGATGTGATGTGCTATAAAAACGTCTCACGCACACCGAGGACATGCTACGCTGGCAGAAGAGCGGAGTGGGGGGTGGAGGGGCCAGGCACGTCATGCCAAAACCCTACAAGCCCCACCGGCCCGCGTTGCACGAGCGACCGATTTCTTCTCCTGGCCGGAGTCGTCGTTGAAACAATCCAATCCAATCGAAACTCTCCACCCTCCCCCTTCACGCAAGACTCTAACGCCTACGGTAGCGCGACGGTGCTGCTGTGTTGAAACGGAGTTGACCCCAACAACGTGAAACGATTAAACGGGTTTCTACTGGATGCGAGCGTAGAAGATACCTGTGATGCAGCAACACGCAAAGAGCAAAGATGCAAACGGCGGGAAGAAGGGGCATGGGAGGGAGGGGAAGCACCGAACGAGCACGGGCAAAGGGTACAACTGGTAAGTACACAGCAATCTGCGCCTATGCTTACGGTCAGCAATAGAACGAAAGAAAGTTCACGACACAAAAAAAAAGACGTGGGGTGTTCTTGAAGGGTAACCCCCGCAAGTAATAACGACGATAACACGCGGCAACCAACGAACACTTCCACGGTCAGACCGAACACAGCGACCTCTAGTCCCTTTCGATATGAACGCAACATTCAAGAAAATACCAAGTCACTGGTGAATAAGCGAAAGTGCTACGGGTAGATGAAGCAGGAGACTCACCCTTGACGAGGATGTCCTTGGGCACCTTGGAGCCCATGTCGGTGTCGCCCTTTTGCTTCGACACGAACACACCTGTCCATGCGTAGGAACGGCAACGTATAGTAATATTACGCCAAAAGCAAAAAAAAACCCATCAACATCGCGATCATCACAGATCTTCCGTCGTGCAATACGGCGGTAGGAAGCCATCATCTAAGATACCCAAAAACCATTAACATCGCGATCATCACAGATCTTCCGTCGTGCAACACGCCGGTAGGAAGCCATCATCCAAGATACCCGCGTTCAACGGGGCACTCACATTTTACAGGAAGAGACAAAGGGACATGTAACATAATCGTTTGCCGTAACCCTTCAAGAAAAAAAAGTAATTCACTTTGTCCCCACATCTGGGCGACAATACATCCAACAACACGTCATACACCAGCAAGAGAGGAATGCAACTATGATAGACCAACGCCCTCTCTGATTGGCCATCCGTTCCCGGCCGTGAACAACGACGCCGACACCAAAACGCACACAGATAGGAGGACCCCACCCCACCCCCCCCTCAACGCACCTCCGATCTCTCCCGCCTCCTTGTCCACGGTGTTAACCTCGAACTCGATGTTTCCGTCCGTCACATCGAACACCTTGTTGTTCTCCTTGAACATCTCCGCGTCTCCCTCAACGCCGGACTGGAGTCCGGGCAGCGCGACGGCCATGTCGTATCCCGTGGATCCGCCGCGGCCCTTGGGGTCGAGGAAGAGGCCAGTCCGGTAGGAGGGAGTGCGGAAGCCGCCGCCCATCTGGAAGCCGGGCTTGACCTGGTTACCTCCCGCGGAGGCCTTCGCCACGAGGTCCTTCACGGTGAAGAGGAAGGGGATGCGCTCGTAGTTCGACTGGATGGTGGTGGCGGCGTAGTCGATGCCATCCTGCGAGGGGGGGGGGGGAGTTCCGA